GCACTATTTGATATGCTAATTTGGCAGAAACTGCTCATGTGTTCCTGTGTAATCGCCAAATTGTTATCTCTGGGCAATTTAGTAACATGCCTGTTGATACCACTGATTTGAAACCAGGTCCCCATACCGTGAGGACTATCCTTTGTGCAAAGAATATTGATAAATTTAATAACTTATCTTTTTACTTGGGAATAGATGCATGTCTAGCTTAAGCGTGGACTACAAGCTAAGCTTCTTTCTGGATTTTTATGTTATACTTTAGCATAACGTTCCAGACCTGGTTAAATTGCAAGGATGCCTTTAATTCTGAAACTTTGTGAATAATTTTGTCTTGTGTGGTGCTGTTAGCTGTGATGGGTCAGTAGGGCTAAAAGAAGCAAAACAGAGAAACTTTGTGCATTGCTAAGGGGAAGGATCCCATTTTGAAGACGCCCTAGGAGCTGCTGGAGGTCTGATGAGTAGGAAGCAGCCAGATTTTCTGTTATTTCTCAGAGGTGAATTAAAGAGAGAATCCCCCAGGGTATGTTGGTGTTTTAGAAATGGTTCAGTTGACAACATGGATGCATTCTGCAACTGAATTATCTCAGTATTTCATTACCATGCCAGGCACAGATACAGCACAGATGCAGTGGCCTTTCTCAAGGATGAGAGCTATTTTTAGTTCGGGAAATGGGATTATCCAAATAGCCAGAGGCTTATTTTAGTGCTTTGTGCATCATAACTATAGAAAGAGCTTAATGAGGAATCTTGTTGTTTCTCTAAGATCCACAGCTTTGTTCAGTTATAGTTAAGGCAACACGAAGGGGGCTGTGTCATTTCAGCCACTTGGGATTCATTTGCAGAAAACACAGCAGCTTGTGCTGGCTTTCATCCAGCTTTTTCTGCTGGCGAAACATGTCTCTTCGCTCTCTTTGTACTCTCAGCTACATGACCAAAATCCTGTTTAGCCAGTTTTTCAGACTGGTGCTCAAACTCTATCCTTCCCTCTCACCACCTTTTCTCCAAGAACTATTTTAAGTTTCGTGGAGATAAATGTACAGAGCAGCTTGGTTGATTCTTCCTCTTCTCTCTGTTCAGTTTTTAATCTCAGTATTGAATTATTGAACATGTTCCTTTAAATATGGAATGATTCATCAGAGCTCTACTAGACAGACTGATCTGGTGGAATAAGCAATAAAGGGTGGAGGGTGATGCCAATACACTGTGGTTCTTACAGTTGAAATGAGGGCTGGTTGCAAGATGCAAACAGTGGTAATTAACACTCTATAACTCTGTTGCTACGAAATGAGTAGATTAACAGGGGAGACACAGGGTGTGTGAGCTTGGTGCAGGAAGTCTTAAGGTGGAGCAGCTTTGCATGCTAAAGTGGGGGAGTGCTATGGAGGGCAGCATGAAGATGAATGACAGCAGGTAAATAGCTGAGAGGGTTTTTATTAGTGGAGTAAAGGAGATGTGGATGGAATTTACGAAATGACAGAGTTGTGGACAGGTTGTTCAACATGTGAGACAGAAAAATGTAATGTAAATCTGGCACTGGTCTTAACTTGTCCTTAGCTTGCTACGTTTGGGTGTATGCTGGCTCGAGGTTGTTTTGAGATGCTGCCTGAAATTCATAGTGCGAAAAAGGAGGCTCAGGATGGCTTTTCCGCAGGAACTCTGAATTGCTTAACTTATATTTCAGTGTGGCTTTATAAACACATCTGCACTGGTTGCTTTAACTCCTTCTGATAGATGTGATAGGCTGTATCTATTCCCTGAAAGATTTCAGGGTCCGGTGTAATCTATAGTAACGAGAGCTGGTCCACAGCTGTGCTTTTCATATTTCACCTTTCCAGAATTTGGAGACATCTCATGTAGATGCCCCTTCAGGCTAATCTCAAATATCTGTCATTCCTCTGTGACAGTGTTATGCTTGCTGTTTTGCCCCGTGCTCTTCTCCTAGGTGAATCTTCTCATTCACTACCCCATTCCTCTCCTCAGTTAACCCATGTGATAGCTAAGCTGTTTTGGATAGGAAGGATTGCTTATGTCTCCTGACTATTCTTCCCACACTCCTTTTGCCCTCTCCTGGAGCAGTACACCCCAAAGTTTGAAAAAGGCTGTTTTTAAAATAGAAGTTCCTAAATAAGCATTCAGGAAGGCCTGCCAACCTTGCGGCATTTTATCTAAGGCACTTTAAGCTACTAGCCTCTGGTAAGAAAAGTAGAGAATTGTTTTGACATGTCGATTGTCCCATTGGAAAGGAGTTTGCAAAGTTGAATGTTATCACGGATATTTAATAAATAGGCAGTGCGAATACTTAGGCTCAGTTAAAAATAAAAACAAATGCTGCCTCGCATGCCTTCCTTAAACCTTAGTACACTTGGAGTATTGGGCTTATTGGTGTCCTTATGCAATATTTTGCTGCTCTTGATGTCTTCTCACCAGGGGCTTCTGAAAATAGCTGTGTTGTCTATATGTCTTTTCAGCTGTACGTTGTGTGGGAAACACCATCTGAAAAAAGTGTGAATATTTCAGTGCAAGTCTTTATTTTTACCAACTTGACTTACACCATTTGGCCTGAGCATTTCCTCCCTTGTCCAAACATTTTTCTCCTTTTGTTTTCTAACTTGGCAAAGACTTTTTGAACTACAGTTCTTATGTTTTATTTGTAAAGCAGGAGGCTGCATACATTTGCTGCTTCCCTCAAATTACATGTGTTGGATTTCTTCTTGTATCTGATCAAAATAGCTCCCTAATTGCACTTTTTATACGGGCTCTTTTGCATCTTCAGAAGCACAGGGTACAAAGTTGAAGGTTTGGGGAGTGTTTTATTACTGTTCATCAGTAAAACTCGGCTTCCTTTTGGCAGGAATCCCTGTACACCTTCTGGAGCCTAATTCCTATCACCATTTCCAATCCCTTTTCACAAATATTTGCTTTTTACTGTGCCCAGAAATTAAACCAGAAACTAATATGGTGCTGCATTTAGTAAGAAGGCAATTCTCCTCATGTCTGTTATTGTGGCGAGAATATTTGTTGCTGGCCTGTGACTGTGGCAGTCCCCAGAACTGCATTTCTGAAGTAGTTCCTTTTGAGTCCTCTGGAATTTTCTTCTTTTTCTGGTGTTTACACATCAGCTGAGGTATTTTGAGCACTCTCAGATCTCAATTTTCTGACTTTAAATCATCCTTAAACAATGAGTTGCTTTATAGCCTCAGGTTCTTCAAGACTTCAACTTGTGGTAGGAAGACAACCTGAACTAGCAATCGGGAGGAAACTGGCTTTCTGAATCTGCACAAGTTTGAGTTGTTTGAATTTTTTTTTTTTTTTTGGGGGGGTGAAGGAGGGGGTGTTTGTTGTTTTTGTGTGTGTTGGTAGTGTGCAAAGAATTGCTTTGTAAAGGGTTTGGCTGGGGGGAATATTTCACCCTTCTTGAAGTTTCAAATACCTTCTGTTTGATACTAAATAACTTCATTTTATAGATATATTTATATCTATATCTGTATATATATCTTCAAATTAAGCAACTTACACAAGATGCTGATGCAAGTGCCTCTCTTTACCCAGCTCTGCCCCTCAGTTCTCTGTCTTGATATGTAGTAGCCACTACTACAGCATTTCTGAACTCAAAATGGTAGTGGAACACCAGTTAGCTGTCCAAGCCTAGAAAAGGGCCTGAATTGGATTTGAGCAGCTACTTTGAAATAAAACCTGGGTAATCATGTCTCTGCTCCTACTAAATCACGTTCAATACATGATTTCTCCCTTGAGGAGCCTTACCTTTGGGACACAGATGCTGCAACGTTTGTTCACACAGTGAATACTGTGTAGCTGTGGATCAGATCTTTAGGACATCATCTTTCCTGAGCAGAGACTGTAACTATGTAAAGCGTCATATGTGTCGATGATAAAACAAACCAACCCTCTTTGCCCCCCATACACAGGTTAAAAGACAGTGTAAAGATATTGTCTGAGTTTCAAGTCAACTTATAATTTGCTTTTGGGGGTGGTTGTTTTGGAGTTGCAAGCTATTGCTGAGAGCAGTGGGTGGCTACTGCATCATGATGTTAATTATTGCTTTGTTTGTGATGTGATGCTTTCCTGGGAGGGAGTAGCATCAAGAGGGAAGCTTAGAATAATTATAGTTGTCCCCTTGAAAGTTAGCTAACAAGCTACTATTTACTGATTTGATACGTGTGGGTACTATAATGCATTAGTTGACTATTACGAGCAAGGAATTTAACACTGGTATGGAGTAATAAAAGGCTAGAAATTGTTGTATAAGGATGGAAAATAACATTGAACAATACACAGATGGAGCCCTTTCCTCCTGAGAATTAGTATATTGGGGGTTATCCATTCTACAGGTAGGGAATAATTTTGTTTTATCTAGTGCTTGTAACACTGTACCTCTACTAAGACCTTTCATTGGCTTGGATCCAACTTGATTGTAATTTCCCTTTTGAAGGTATTAGACCACAATTTGTTGGCTTTTCTTGGCATATAACTTTTGAAACATTAGTAAATCCTGATGGGTAGCTTTTCTCTTTTTGAAGTTCAAATTAAAAAAAAAAAAAAAAATTAAGGACATAACTGAAGTCAAAGGTGCCATAGCTGAAGAAAGGCTATTGCAAAATCAGTATTGTGATTGATCTTGAAAGGTTTTTTTTCTTTCAAATATTTCACAGCTTTTATTACAATTAGTTCAGATTTTGAACATTACCATTATAATACCATGACGTTTCATATGAACTCATAATTCTGCCATATTGTCCTAATTGTTCTTTTTACCATACTGCTGGTGGTGTTATTTTCTATTCCGCAAATGCATATAGTTTCTTTGCCTACCTTTATCAGGAGCCCACATCTGTTCTTCATCATGTTTTTTCAAAAGCTATTACAAAGTGCTGAATTATTTAATCTTCTTTTAAAAAAAAAGTTTTAATAATGGTAACTGCTTGTTTTATGGAATTATCTGTATCAGTCAGTACAATGAAATTTATCACTTTATTTTTCAGTTTAGTCAGCTGGTATCCAGTGATTTGAAAGTCCTTGGAAGGAGCTCTTACACACTCTGCAGTGATGGCCAGTTACTCATTCGACAAGTCCTCCACCCAGAAACATCTAAGAAGGTATGAGATCAGAACTGATGCAGGAGAGCAGTACTGTGTTTTAAGGACATCAAAGAAAATAGCTTACGTGAGTTGGGAGATAAAGCAACACAATTCAACCTTGGGAACTATAGTGTTCCAAGAATATTTAAGATGATCCCCTCCCTGTCTCAACCCTGTGTGGCAGAGAAGTAGTTCTTGGCACTTGCTCTTGGAAGTCAGCTACAGTACTTAAGGACACCCAGATGAGCGTAATGAAGAGGAAAATTAGGAAAGACAGAATAGAGACAGGAACAATACAAGTACTTTGAATTCTGTGTCTTAAGAAATGGAAGCAAAGGTACAGGTCTAACCTCAGCAGAGGTGATGGAGAACTATTGCTTTGTTTAGGCTTGAGTTAAACCACAGGTTCTATGCGGAGCCATGGGTTTCTACCAAGATCTGAAATTGGTAGGAGCCATGTGTCGATGTCCTGTAGAGACTAAACACACAGGCAGTGACTTGCCCTGGAGAATGGCAGTGGTTCCCCATCTGCATTTATTCAGTGGGAAGTAGTGCTACAGCTTATTTGCTGCTTCCACACGAAGCAGCAGTTTCTACTCCAAGTTCCTGCAAGGGCTTAGAGCAGGCTGTCTTGCACAGGGAGAAGAATCTTGCCTTTGTGCAGGGTGGTGGCTCTTGAGTTAGCCTGCTTGGCAGGGTCTGCAGGAACCCCACAGGAATGGGAGCTGCTGACATGGAAGAAGTTGACTGATCAGTTGTATTTTTTTTTCTCTATATAAGGGTATTGGCTCATGTTGAGTTTCTACAAATATTCGTTTGGCATTTGTGTTATATTAAAACATAACACTGTGAGTTTTTATGAAAAGCGCATGTTTATGTAGGGATGAAGCAAGTAAGGGAAAAGGAATGATGTTTAACATTCAAATATAATAGTACTATTTTTTTTTTTTTTAAACTTAATGCCATCCTGCAATATGGATTAAGGGTAATTCTTTGTACTTCCCTCTTGAAACAAATGGACTAAAACACAACAAACACTGTAATGTTTTGAAAGACATAATTGTCCATACCTGATCAAGGAATGGATCTAATCAAGTATTGAGTCTCTTAATACTGCATTTCTTTCTCTTTTTTCTTTTTTTCTCTTTCAATACTTTCTCGTTTGTGAAAGTTCATTTTTCCCTGCACCTTAAATGTGAGTAAGCCTCAGACCTTAGCTCTTACTATTCCTACCATACTAAGAAGCATTACCTTGTGACTTTTCTTAATTCTTTATTTACAAAGGTGGGTGCTCTTTGGTTAGACCAAAGTCAAACTTTTATATAGTAAAACAGTCGGAGAGTGTGAGAGAGAAAATAGTGAATTAGACCAGAATTACTGGTTTTATTCCTTGAAAAAATAAGCTAATGTCTGAGTGAAGCGCTGCTTAAAAGTTTGTTTAGTACTGTTATATAATTGAAATTCTTCTCCAATACACAACAGTAATGAATAAATGTCTTTAAGTTGCTGGAAGATATTTTGTACACTGTAACAATATTTATTTAAATTTTGTTATCATGTTTTGGTACATGAATATTGCTTTTCAGTGTAGCTGCAAAAGAGAAAATACAGTATCCTAAATGGGAGTACTTATAAAACAGCAAAAGCTAGATTTTTTGTTTGTTTGTTTTTTGTTTGGTTGTGTTTTTTTTTTTCCCCTTTCCTTCCCCAGCTGTCTTCTCTAGCTGTTTTGCACAGGTCTGCTTCTCGGAAGCTATTTGGGTTTGCTCATCTAGAGATCTAATTCTGTAAGACTACGGAATTTGAACTGTGTTACAAAGGAACTAAACTGGTCTATCATAGACAAGCTGATGACATACAACTATGTGATTTTTGAGACCACCTCATTCAGTCCAAAAATATTAAGCAGAATTTAAAGGAATGGTGTGTACAAAACAAACTTTTTGCCTTCCTTGTAGAACTTCCTGCTGTCAGACTGCTTCTATTCCTTTTATGATCTGCGCAAAGAATTTCATACTTGCTACCCTAGTTCAGCCGCCGTGAAAGATCAGACTATCAAGACCATGGCAGAATGTATCCTTTTGCTGCAGCTTTTACACCAGAATCAATTATGCTTCTTTAGGTTTTATCTCTGTGATCGTTACAGGTTTTATTCTTCTAAACTAAGACGTGGGTTTTAAAAACTTGCAGGTAAAATGGAAGGAATGTTTGCTTAAGTGTGTGTTGTGGGGGTGGCTCCGCTTGTAAATATTTTTTTTTTCCAGTTTGAGTCTAACAATGAGTTCTAAACCATATTTAGTAAATGCACTAAAGAAAAACATCACTTGCATTGGTACTTGATCTTAAAGGAAAGGCTTAGCTATCAGTAGGCCTTTTCAGCACCAGTTGGCCTGCAAGCTTCTACTGTTTCTACTGAGTGAACTGAGTTTAAAACTAAATAAAAAAACAAAAACCAGACAAAAACCAACACCCTACATCTACATTTTAGGAGGATTTTTGTGGCCCAGCTGAATGTGGTTAAAGTTCAGTTATGTTTGAAGTGATAGGAACTTATTCTGCTTTTTTTTTAAAATTGTTAACACTGAAATGATGTAAGCTATCAATAGTTTTCAGACTGTTGACCGTTAAAGTGAATATTAACCAATTTATGAGCAGAGCAACAAATGTCTAATGGTCATGTGTCACCGCTAAGACCACTAAATTTGACTACCAGTTCTGTGTTAGTATCAGGAAAGCCTTATGACTTGTTTACAAATGATTGTGCAAGTCTGTTATTTTCTGTAATCACCTGTTTAGATCTAGGCTTAGGGACAGATGAAACAGAGGAGGACTTTGGCGTGTGGCAAGTGAAAACCATGGTGGCTGTCATTTTCAGCATGCTCTCTGAGAGTTGTAGTAAGTGACCTCTTTATACAGAATACTGAAATCTTTCCTTTTCTGTAAGAATTGGCAGTGGTACTGTCATTCTTAAGTAATCTCTGACTCCGGTTATATTTAAACTTCCTGTTTTGTTGCAGATCACATATTTACTGAGCCTGAAACTGTGAAATACAAGTATGAAACAGGTCCTTGGTAAGTGCCCTTGTCATGGTTGTTTACAACCAAAGATGAGTCTTTTCTACAGCAAGGAAGGTTTGTGAATATTTCCCCACGGTCACTGTGAAAGTAGGTTGGTTCCTGAGAACAGTAACAATGTATTCAGTAGTCTAGTGTAGACAGACTATAGCTGGTATGTTGAATGCTGTACTTTAGTCCGTCTCTTTAAAGTCACTGCAAGTTAAACGCTCTTTGTTCTCTAGCTTCTGTTTTGCATGGCAGTGAGGCTGACTTATCTTACCCAGTGGTGAAGAAATATTTGTGAACTTTCCCTAAGTCAACAGGGGTAATGGCTAGTGCACCCTATATGCAGCTGAACTACACAGTTCTTCTGAAGAGTGGTCTAATATGCTGTATTGCATATTGGGTTTAGGGAGAGAAGAAACAGAATGGTTCTTTATTTCCAAATACATTGCAGTAACTGGAGAATGAAACTTCTTAAGCATAAGTAATATGTATTCATATTTAGGACTGCTTTGTAACCGTCTGCGTTGGATTGTTAGATCTTTCGAATAAAATTAATCCAGTTCCTTATTACTTGACTTTGAGACGGTCTTCCTATTTTTTTTGAAGGAACTGCAATGTGGTGACAACATAGTGCATCTTAGGTATTGAATACATAAGAGGATTATCCCAGTTATCTTTCCTTTCTTTATTGAAATGAGTAATGGAATTAGAAGACTCTCAACAGCAAATATACTCCTGATTTACAAGTTAAATTAGTTGCAAAATGAAATTTGGTAATATAAAGAAAAACCTAGATGAAAGCTTACTTTGGCTTCTTTTTTTTTTTTTTTTTTTTCTTCTTTCTGTGCAGTAGTAAATCTGAAACAGTGGACAGTGAGACAGTAATACGTGCCAGAGGTTTGCCATGGCAGTCTTCAGACCAAGATATTGCTCGATTTTTCAAAGGACTCAACATTGCCAAGTAAGATAATAAGAATTTGTCTTGCTTTATCACTTTGTCTTTAATAACAAGTTCTTTTAATATTTGTGTAACACACATGTCCCACACCTCCCACTAGAGTCCTCGCTTCTACCGTCTTTCCCCACCCAGGCCCCTTCCCACCCCATGGTCATGAAAACTGAACAGGTTTACCAGCCCTAGGCGTGCAAGAAAGAGTTTTGAAGTGTGTGAAGAAGAAAAGAGACTTGCCAATTGAAAACCAATATACGTTCATTTATTGCTAGTTCCTAAAGGGAGAAATTCCTACTGCATTAATCAAGGCAGAGTCCAAGATATAATAGAAGCTTTAATTTTGTGCCAACTCTTCAGTATTTTGCTGTACCTCCTAAACAGGCCACAGTCAGAAACCTCCAGGTGCTGTTTGGAAGAAATTTTTATGACTGATGTGTGTACACCTCTTATAAAGAGAGTGAGTTTAATTTAGCGTACCTGTCACTTAATATATGTTCCAGATTCTCAACGCTGAGAAAATATATAATTTTTTTTTTTTATTTAGAGGTATGAGGAAACTCAAATCTGCATTTCTGAGGTGATAGGAAGGGCTTGCAAATTTACATCTGCATGGAAGTTGAGAAAGTGGTGAACAGCGTGAGATCCAAGATGTTGCTGAAGCAGATTCTGCAGTATAATTGTGTTACATTAAAAACGAAATTAAATTGTGGATAACAGCAATTGTTTATTATATGTATTAAAGATTCAAACTAAGTTTATTTTTGTTGGTCCTACCTTCCAGAGGTGGTGTGGCTCTTTGTCTGAATGCTCAAGGAAGAAGAAATGGGGAGGCATTAGTTCGGTTTGTCAATTCTGAACAGAGAGATCTTGCACTGGAAAGACATAAGCATCACATGGGTAGCAGATACATTGAGGTAAAAAGTAGTGACTTGAAGTAAATCTTTGGAGAGCAACCTGAATATTTTAGACTACTGTTTTAAAAGAGAACAGGCTGCAGTTCTGTTTTGCTCTAAGTGCCAAAATACCATTCTCTCACATATGGAAGAGCATGTGGAAGAGCATTTAGAGTTGAATATTGTAATTTTCATGTGTGACTTTTTTTTTTCTTTTTCTCTTTTAAGGTTTACAAAGCAACTGGGGAAGAATTCTTAAAAATTGCAGGAGGTAAGTAATGCTGGAGCTCACTGTAATTACTGAAGTTCATAGGAGTGTTGTTCTAGTTTTGATTCCGCCCCCCAAAACCCTTTTTTTTTTTTGCTGAGGACACAAGTGGATAATGAAGTAGCTTTTCCTGTTTTGCCTTCCAAGAATACTTGACCCTGTCAAGTTCTGGTTTCATGTGGTTGACTTTGAGCTGTAAGCATTTGGGCTGTGATGTTCACAGACAGGTCTTGCTGTTTGGGAGGAAGATGAGCCTTTGCAGTGGAAATGTCTGTGTACCTTGTAGAAGTTCACATTAATCTCATCTTTGTTCCAATTTCATTAAAATACAAAACACTTTCAGCATGAGGGTGTTTCACTTAAAAATAGACTACTGAGAGTTAGTAGTGTCTCAGGTCTTCTGTGGGTTTTTTGCTAGCTACTTACCTCCTATATTGCTCCTTAATGCTTTGGAACTCCTGCGTCCTATGGAATTGACTGACCAGCATGACCATATGTTGTTGGCTGACCGTATGTTGTTATCTTTCCACCAGGCACCTCCAACGAAGTGGCCCAGTTCTTATCTAAGGAGAATCAAGTTATCATCCGGATGAGAGGCCTTCCGTTCACTGCTACTCAGGAGGATGTCTTGGGGTTCCTGGGGCCAGAGTGCCCAGGCACAGGAGGGAAATAGGGACTTCTTTTTGTCAAGTACCCAGATGGCAGGCCCACAGGAGATGCATTTGTGTTATTTTCCTGTGAAGAATATGCACAGAATGCACTTAAAAAGCACAAAGAAATACTTGGAAAACGTTACATTGAACTCTTCAGGAGCACAGCAGCGGAAGTCCAACAGGTTGTAACTATTGGCAGTGGGACTCGAAACTTAACAGTTAAAACATTTCTTCTAACACTTACACGCAAATACATTGTAGACAAGCATGAAAGTCTATTATATTAAAGATATCAAGTTCTAGAATGGGCAATATGTGCTTCCTGATTGGCATGGAAAATTGCGCAGCATTGTGTTTTGTTTTTTATTGCCACTGTGGTTTTTTTGTTGTTTTTTTTTTTTTAACATCCCTCAGATTGTGAAGTAAAAGTCATTCTATAATTTTCTTCTACTTAAAGATTGACTGAAATCACAAAAATAATTTTAAAATATACTAGGTTGATAGTATTGTAGTAATGCTTCTTGAAAATCTGCAGTATTGTCTTTAAATTCTGGACTCCAGGTACAGAATTTCTACATTATATCCAAATCTGGATGCATTAAAACAGCTTTTCATATAACTGCTTTGTTGGAAACTAAGAATTCCCAGGATGTATTTGATTTTTGGTGAAATGAAGTGAAATATTTGTTTTCCTAGGATAATATATTTCACTTTTTTCCCTATTCTTCACCAGTTCCTATTATCACCTTCTTAAACTGGTAAAACCATTTTATTTTGGCACCAGCACTTCCAGCCTCTGAAAAACTTCACATATTGCATTTTTCTGCCTGACACAAAATATTTCTAGACTGATAATGCCATAGGGAACCATTGTAAGATTTGATCTGGTCTTTGCATAACCACTGGCTATAAAAACTTAATACAGTTACTATTTCAACCTATGTAACGTGAGAAGTCTTTGCCATAGAAGTGATGGAGCAAGGGAAAGAATATCCACACTTGTAGACCTGCCATTTACCCATAGTACTGTGATATGGAGGTTAGAACAGCCAAGAATCTCGTATGTGTGTTGTGAAGACTAATTGAAATGGCATGGTGAGATTTTTTTTTTTTTTCTCCCTTCCTCCTCAGTTCTTCTCCTTAGAGAGAATGAAGCTAAGTCCTCTAAGGAACAAAACCATTCTGTCACAGTGACCAAGTCCTTGCTCGCATTTTTGTTAGGGAGACCTACATAAAACTTGTGTAACTTATATTCTATCAATATGTCATTACTTCTTCCTCTACGACAGCTGTCTAGGGTGACATCCTAATTTTCTAGCTGCTTGAGCAAGAGATGATTTTTTTTTTTTTTTTTGTTGGGGGGGGGGGGGGGGGGAATGACAGGGTTTTTGAGTAATTGCAAGAGGTAAAGCCAGCTGTCATCTACTTAGTGTTAAGACAAAGTAATTGCAATATTCTGTACACAACTGAGGGAAAAGATTTCTGACCTGAAAGGTGCTACAAGTAGATTCTTGGAAAAAGGCAAACTTTCTTGAGACAAACGCCCTAGGCTGAATCATTATTGACAAAACTAAAGCTTTGTAACCTCTTTTTTGGTACTTCTTTTAGTGGAATGTGTTTCTTTATTTCTGATAGTCATTGCTAAATATGTGTTCCAGCAAGTTATGTTCCCTTCGTCATTTGAGAGTGAGTCAAGAGAAAATAAAATGTTGAGATCAAGGTCTCCTCTAGTTCTTATCCTTTTTTTTTTTTTTTTTTTTTTAAAACTTCCTTCCAGAAACCCTGTACTTGGAGATGAGCACTCAGGTTAAAAAACAAACACCCTCATTTAACCGATCAGGTTTTATGAAGGAATTAGCGCTAGTGTTTTTACTTATTAGTTATTTCAGGTCTCGGTTCTTTTAAAATGACTGTCTTTAATTTACCCTAATTTAAGTAAGAACTGTATGTGACAATACCGGTTTACTAGCACAAATGTGGTTTTCAAATGTTCCTTTTTGGGATATTCTAAAGTGAACTGTAATCCGCTTTTAACTTTTTTATAATGAGATTAGAAAGGTCTGTTATTAGGGTCTAGCAAATTAAATTTGTAAGACTTCCTCTCTCCTCTTCCGAGTTTATAACTTTCAAATGCCCAACAGGAAACTATCTGCAATAATTTGGTTTAAGGTTTTTTTCCCTCTGATGTTGGAAGTGGATTTTTTTAAATGTGTGACATAGTATTGTGAGAATTGATTTGTGCTCAACCAGATGATGTGTAAATCTCTATCAATGTGCTTCTTTTGCCAACAGGTACTTAATCGATATATGTCAACACCTCTTATTCCCACTCTCCCAACTCCCATCATTCCTGTCATACCCCCACCATACACCATTGCCACGGGTAGCATACGTGACTGTGTCCGGCTCAGAGGCCTTCCTTACACTGCTGGCATTGATGACATCCTGGAATTTATGGGAGATGCCACGGCTGATATCAAGCCCCATGGAGTTCACATGGTCCTTAATCAACAGGTAACAGCATTTTGCATGGGAGGGTTAACTTTCCAGTTATTGAACAGGGTTAGAAGTCAGGATAGCTTACCTGTTCTTGGCTGTGCTTTAGGTCTTCTATAACCTTGAGAAAATACTATGTTCTGTTTGCCTTTCTTTTTGTTCCTTCTTTCTCCTCGTTTCTCCTCCCCTTTTACGAACATACTTGCTTTTCTTTCTATATATGTATGCATAAGACTGGGGAGGATTGAATCTTGTTCTTTTAATGATAGCTTTATCCTGGAGGCTGTCTTAAATAGTCCCTTGTGTTTCAGTCAAGTGCTGGAAATACACAAGACGGAATGTCTCATGCTAGGTGGCATAGCTGCTCTGTCAGCTTCAGGGTTTCTGCTCACTGGTGGCTGTGTTGTTTGAGTGGTATTTGTGGAAGAATTAAGTTTTCCTAACTTCTAACTTGATTAGAGACTTCTCGGGCTTTAAAGGAAGTTGATAATTAAAAATCGTGGTTTGGATATATTTTAATGACATAATCGTAGGGATATTTTTTCCTTGTTGTCTTGTGTTAAAAATAAACTCTATTAGCCACAGAAATATTGAGGTATTAAAGAAAACAGATGAGAGAGATCTACTATATTTGTTCTGCTTTTTTGTTAAGAAAGTTTTACTATTTTATACATACAGCAATGTCTGTCAGATTGTAGAAAATCAGACCTGGAAATCATTTTGTAATGTAGCTATGGACTTTACTAAAGCATGTCTGGAGCTTTATACTGTTGTACTATTACCTAAAAAGTAGTTACAGAGAAGGCAAAGCCAGACTCTTTCTAGAGCTTCCCAGCAAAAGCATAAGAAACCATGTTAATAAACTGCATCAAGGAAAATTCTAACTGGGTGAAAAGGAGAGGGGAAAAAAAAAAAAAAATCACAATGAGAAATTAGTTAAGCACGCAAAGAGGTTCCCAGAGATGCTGTGGAATCTCCACCCCTGGAGATGCTTGGAATTCAAGTGGAGAAGGCCATGAATGGCCTGATGTAACCTGAAAGTTAGCCCTGCTTTGAACAGAATTTGGATTAGAGGTCTCTAAACTTTGTTTCCATGCTAAATTATTCTCTATTTCTTTCTGCAGAAGACAGAAGTAGTGTTAACTGGGTGCTGGTTACATGAGTCTTACCTTTCTGCTCCTAAAAATAATTGTTGAGTTATTAGTCTTTGGTGCCAGAGGAGGAAGAACAATACAGACTTTGAGTAGACATTTGATCTTAGTGCTTTCTGCACTTCTTGTGCTCTGGGTGTTTTAATAACAGATTGACTTATGATTGTTTCCCCCCTCCCCCAGGGACGACCCTCAGGTGATGCTTTTATCCAAATGAAATCTGCTGACAAAGCCTTTATGGTGGCTCAAAAATGTCACAAAAAAATGATGAAGGACCGTTATGTGGAAGTATTCCAGTGTTCAGGAGAGGAGATGAACTTTGTTTTAATGGGTGGCACTTTAAATCGTAGTGGCTTATCCCCACCGCCATGTAAGTTACCATGTAAGTCTGCAATTCTTCTGCTCTCTGCTGCTAAAGGCTGATATATGTGGTAGGTGCTGAAGCTTTGTGGCCTTTCACCTTTTGACTTGGGTTTTGCCATGATTTGATAATCATCCATCTGTATACATGCCGAGATTGGAATTGTTCCCTTTGGGCAATAATGGGACTGATCAGAGGCATTTTTATTATATTTTCGGTGGTGAGTAGAGGGCAGCAAGGCCTTGCCAGTGAAATTGTTGCACACTTTGCTTTTTATGGGTGTACTGTTCTTCTGAGCTCTGCGGTAGACTTGCCTGTAGTGAAACCTACTTGGAATTAGAGGGATTTTTAAGAGGGGAAGAAATTCTATATTCCAGCTGCCAACGAGTGCTCTTGCTATCTTGCCTTAGAGCATTGAGAAGGTACTCTTTGGGCTTATTTTTGAAGGAAAACACCCACTGGAATGATATGCCTACAGACCATAGAGTGGTGAAGTTGGATGGATTTTTATATTTTTATTTTATTTAAAATTACAGTGAACCTTATTGTGGAACTATAATGGAACTTTACTGTACCATTCTAATCAGTCTCACTACCAAATCACTAAGCAGATACCAATGTGTATCTGCAAAATAGTAAAAAGCTGCCAAATATAGTATTTAAAAACAGTTTGACTGCACACCAAGCCAAGCTTTATGTTCCTGTACAAATCAGATATTTGTTCATCAAAATGCATCAGACTAGCGATATAGTGTGGTTTTCTTTTTTCCATTTGCTATATCCTAAAAATACTTTTTGAAGTTGTAGGAGGCTTATACATGAAGACTCATGGTCAGCAGTTGTGGATGCCCATGTGTAGCTAATATTATGGTACTTTTGTCCCACAGAGTACAACTTCTGTTAGAAAGAACTGAGGGTGTGTTGGTGTGCACGCCTGCTTTCTCTATGCACATGGCTTTTATGCTTTCTTTGAATAACTGTGAAGTTCCCTATTTTGCATTTGCATATGGACAAGGCTGCTCAGCTCTAGGACTTGTGAACTCTTAGGAATTGCTCATTTCGAATGCCCCCGTTGTCATTCATGGTGAGGTAGCAGGGGTCTCCACAGGACAGGGTAGAGAGCAGTCTTTGCACAAGTGTTCATTAATCGTGCCCAGATGGTATTAATCACATTGGGATGAGTAATTCCTTTCCAATAGCAGAGATGTCCATTCTGATTGGTTTTTTGTTGCTGTGTCCTGGTTTGTTTTTAGGTCTTTCTCCACCAGCTTATGCTGCTTTCCAAACAGCAGCTGTGATCCCAGCAGAGGCAGCGCTTTACCAGCCTCAAGCCCTCTTGCCAACCACCAGGACTCCCCAGGCCTCCGCGGCTGCTCCTCCTACTGTTACCTACTACCCAGCTCAGGCTGCTCAGCTTTATATGAATTACACAGCTTACTATCCCAGGTAACCCCTAGACTTAGCTGCTTCTCTCGACATTTTATCTCAGTGGAGCAGGCAACTGTGTGGTCACCCGTGAACAGCTCTTAAATTTGTACTTCTGGTGTAGATAATCCTGGGAACTTGATGTTCATCAGCAGAGGCAGTAGCCATTTTAACTGATTCTCTGTGGCCTTGTAATGAAGTTCAGCTTTTCTGTAGGTTCTGTTTGAATCTCATGATAATGTTGGTCTAATATTTAACAGTGTTTTTGGCACTGGGGCAATGTCATCAAGGCGGTTCTATTTCTTGGCCAAATGAGAAGCTGTGTCAATACGTGCCTCTACCCTCATCCCTTAGTTTGTTCTTGTACTTACGATACTGTTTCTATACTGAAAGACTCATCATAGGTGTGTACTAAGTTTGATTTCTTTTATGAGTGAGATGAAAGAACACTTTACATGTGTAAGCAAGGCGGAAGATCCTCCACCTTTTCCCTTCCCACAGATGGTATCAACATGGCTTGCTGAAGTCTGGTACTTGGGTCCATGGGGAAATAGCTTCTTCATTGATAGTTCCTAGGCTTGTGACACTTACTAGCCTGAGTATCTGGTAAATTGCTAGATGGGCCCTGACGAGAGATGCTACTCTACTCACTGTTTTGTGGCTCAGAAGTACCAGATTTGGGCCCTTGCCTGTTTTTCATACTATGATTCCCCTCCAGCTTTTTTTCCTTCATGGTTTTATTAACAATCTTAGAACAAGTCATCTGCAGCTACTATTTTTCTTCTCCCTTGTGAAATAACAAGTGCCACTCTTTATGTCTTCGACTACAAATGTTAGCTATTTTCCTTTCCCTCCCTTCTCTAAAAACAAATTACTAGATGCTGAAGAGAAATGAAGAAAGTCCACAAAGCAGTCCACATCACAGCTGTTTTGGTTTTTTTTTGGGGGGCTAATTCTCAAATTTAAATTTTCAGTTTCATCTTTGCCTATTCCGAGTACTAAAACCAGTTATTAGTTTTCATAACAACTTTGCCCGTCTTTCTCTTTCAGTCCTCCAGTATCCCCTACCACGGTGGGGTATATTGCAGCTCCTCCAGGAGCTGTAGCTGCTGCTGCCACTGCCACCCACACTCCGATTCTACCACAGCCTGGAGCATTAGTCCGTATGCAGGGCTTGCCATATAACACAGGAATGAAGGAGATACTCAGTTTCTTCCAGGGGTACCAGGTTAGTATGCAGTCCCTCTCCGTGATACTGTATTTGGACCTCCGAGTAATGATCAGTGGGGATCAAACTGAGCAAGTGAGTGCTTTTGGAAATTGCTGAACAAGTGTGCAAGCTCAATGTTGTATATTTAACTGGCAGACCGAAGAGTAATATATAATTTGCCTTATTTCTTATATGATAAACATAACCTAATTTGAAAGCAGTGATTTGGTGTCTAGGGTTAGGGTTTGAGTTAGGAGAGGGAGAAAGCGCAGAGCCCCAGTGTGAGTGGGGCTGCGAAGGGGCTGCCAGAGGAAGGTGAGGGCTGCCAAAAGCTTTCAGTCCTGGCCACTTTTTGGTGGGAGCCCTAGATAGGGTCAGTGTTTGACCTTCAAGACTTAAGTCTTTAAGTCTGCCGAGAGCAAATTTCTAGTACAAAAGGCTGTGACCTAGGTGTGGTGACCTGCTTGCAAAAGGGGAGAGACAGATGCCTCTGTCAGACACTAAAAACAGACTCTCTTTCAAGGACTAATTATTTTGTTACAGGCAGGAACATTTTCCATTAAAACTGCATTACATTGCAACCTAAAGGAAAACTGTATTATCCAAACCATTTTGTACTGATAGCAAATATTCTACATGCTATAGGTAACTTCAGTCAATATGTACTTATTCAATGCTCTATCAGTGAGCAAACACATAGAAACTTACCTTCTTGAGGAACCTTAAAAAAAAAAAAAGCACCATGTACAAATGTGTTTTTCCAGCAGCCCTTATTTGAATTCATGGAATGGGTCTTTCCATGTCTTCTGGCTTTCATCTCAGAGGATATTGTATCTATATCCATATTTTGTCATCACATGTTTGCTAAAAGGAAGGATAATTGAATATGGTATATTCTGGTGAGTATTTAACTTCTGTGGATAACAACACTTACACAAATACCAAATCCGCCCTTTTGGTACTACTCGGAAGCCCTGGCTTAAATCTTCTTGGTGGGTCTCAAATCACTGTTAAAGTGATATGTGTGGAAAGAAGACAATTTTTGCATGTTTGTCCTTCAAAATTCTCTAAGTTGGATAACAGTGATATTGCTAAAGGGTAAGATGCAGATGGATTCTTTTTAATGCATAGCAGCAGTTAATAGGAAACATTCAGGCATGGTATGTTTTCTTTTTTGTTTTCTTTTTTTTTTCTTTCTTTAAGATTCTTAAAGGACAATGGGCTTTAATTTGTAGAGCCAGATGTCTGCTATGTAAATGAATGTAGACTGAGAACAGATGCTTAAATGTATATGTAGCAAGTTTTGAGTATTTGGAAGATACAGTGCTCTACCTGTTGTGACTTCTTTTTAGATGTTACATTTATGTTTGAAAGTAGTTTCGCATACTTGGTTTTAAGTGGAAAAATTTGAAGGTTAGCTTGTAAAAAGTGTGATGAATTTTGACAAACTAAATGTCGTTGTATTTTGGGGCTTTTTCTTCAACAAATATTTCCAGAGTTCAAACCAAATTCTATTACTTGTGGCTTTCGTGATTTCCAGACAAACAGTAGTAATCATTCATCTGTTGCTTAGCCATTGATATTTTACCTTTTGTTTTTTTCAACTGACTGGGGTTTTTGGTGGATGGATGGTGGGTGTATTAAAACCTTAAGTGGGGAAGCCTATTTTCTGAATTGAAATTCAGCTAGAGTGCACCATTGAAAAATCTGACCTGAACCTGTCTGTGCATGGAACAGGTCAGTGACAATGTCTAGTAAGTCTGTCTTCCACTAAATCTTCAATTTAGTGAATCTGGACTTCAGGTCTGGTGCTGAATTTGCCCTTTTCCATGTTTCTGCATTTGGAGAGCAGTCATAGTGTTTGTATTGCACAATTAAATGTTTCAAATGAATAGAAATTTTGCCACAAGGTGAAAACTATATTATTCTGCTGCAACCTCCTGTCATCATCAATTATTGTTATTAAATTGGTCACCTCTTTGATTTCTTTAGAAGAAGTTGTCCAAATGAGATCGGGTTCAATATCTTATAAAGGAGCCAAGGAATTATTTTGAATTGTTCTTGGAATCCCGCATGTGGTAATGCTAGTTTTATACTCGCTCATTCCTTTAGGGGAAAAAAGAGGTGGTGACTTTCTGTATTGGAACAATATTATGTCTCTGGAGCAATAACTAATCTTTTTTTCTTTTTTCCTCCCCTTTCCTCTCTCCTCACATTATTTTTTCATTTTCTGCTGCTGCCCAAGGATTTATTGCACGATGCTTCTGCTCGTTTATAAAGTGAGCCCCTAATAATTGTCAGTGGTTTGGGCATGGTTTTAATCTCTGTATAACTAATTGATGTTGGTATTCAATGGGCTTCAATGTTGGTATTCTGGGAACCAGATCGGAGATGCTGAGATTGAAGGGTGATTTTTGCCTCTGTATGTCCTTGTCTGAAAGGAACAGGTTTTATGTTTTAGTTCGTGCTTTATTCTCTTCCGTTTTCTTCCTTCAGTCTTCATGGGCTCTGTATATTGCATGAATGCACATGTTGCTACTTCAGGGAAAGCACCTTTCATACCAGACCTGCCTCTTAAGAGATAGACTTTGCTTATCATGGGCTTTAACAAGCTGGTCTCAACATCAGTACATGCTTCTAATAACAAATAATGTAAGAATCTGCAGATCAGCATTTTAGTTTTCAATTAATTTCATCAGCGCTAGCCTCTTGTTTAGTGGAATGATTTCTTGTAGTTCTGCTTTCTTGGTTTTGTTGTTGAAAATTCCTTCCAGCTTGCATGTGTTTAATGTAGCTTGCATTAAACAATCTTGAAAAACCTGTGAAGAATTTTAATAGTAAATCTTGGAGATGGTAATTTTCCCCATCACTTTTCTGTATAATACTGTAGTGTACTGTAGTCTTCAAAAGAGCTAATATTAGTACTCTCTGATTCAGTAAGTAATTCATGTTAAACTGCTTTTCAGTTGTAATGCAACAGGGCTATTGATTTGACTCCAATCATGTACTGGATACATAGTTAAAGGATACTTAAAAAAACCAACAACAACAACATCAATGACAAAAACCAAAACAACCAAAACCACAACAAAAAAAAAAAACCCCACCATACAATTCAGATAGGACAATGGGATGACAGTAGTTGCTCTGACAGGTGCTAAAACACCAGCTGCTCAGCAGATGCTGGTCTTTGGGCATTATGTTGAAGTAAGGGATCTATGGGTGCTTACAGGAAACTTCCCTTATAATTTGAAAAATATGTGACTGTGAAGAGACCCTTCTAGAATTAAGAAAAATAGTTCATATTTCAGGTCTTATGGGGAAAAATTTGAGGAAGACGTGGTGCAAAAATAGTAATTACGTGCAACAGACTTTTCAGTGTTACTTTAGGCCATCACTCTGTACAGTTGTAGTAGTAGTGAGAAAAATCAAGTAAATAAGGAAGGAACAGGTGTAGTTGGGTGATGGACTTACATGAAGTTGTTTGTGCATATCAGAACAAAATTTTTCACTAAAAAGTATTTTTCTTTATTTACTGGCTAAATCCTCTATGGATTTTACTCTTTAGCCACTAAATGAATCAGTAAGAAATATTTCTAGCCTCCAAATAATGACCTAACTTTTTTTTTTTGCTTCTTATGAGAATGCAGGTTTATTGCTAACATTGACAGAGTTGGTATTCTGACAAGAACTGTTAGGTTTATGCACAAGTAGATGCAATTTAACCGTGCCCATGGTCTTAGCTGACCAAAAGCTAGTTCACAACTGTCATCTTAGCTAGGATTCAGCATGCGTTTAGTAGCAGTTGGCCAGTTTCTTGGAGGTTGGCATGAATGTAAAGTGAACTCCTGTCTGCCTGAAAAAGACTGCGTGGATTAGTTCTTAGAAAGCAGACTTGCTATTTAGGTGTATGTTTCATTCAGGACTAGTAAAAAAAAAATAAACTAGGAGAAGACTAAGATTTAGGGGTTACGGTCACCATCTGAGCTTTATTTAAAGCCTCCCGAATTTGCTGAAAAAGGCTAGGATGGAAAAGTAGGGACTTGTTTTTATGTAGGAAAGCTTAAAATAAATACTATTCTTTAAACGTGTACTGGGCTTAGGTGCCTTTTATCAGCAGCTAAAAAGAGCTTTTGCAGTATATTAATCCTCCAAGTCTTCAGAGACCCAGAATTCAAGGCTCATTGTTGGGGGGGAGGAGGAGGGTGGCTTGTGCTTAAAACAGTAATAAGGAAGTGAAGGGAAGTGGATGGATGGCTAAATTCCAAGGGCATTAACAACATTTCTCTCTTCTATCAAGACAGCGGGCTTCATTGTTACTGACTTTTTAGGGATTAGTTTTTTTCTCTGAAATGCATGCTTGAACAAAGAAGTATTCTCTATTTCCTATGGGTTCCTTTTGAAATCTGACGCTTCGTAGTCTGAGAGGGATACCCCATCGTCTGTGTGCCTATTCTAGGCATAGCACCTTTCTGACTAGGGAAGGGAAAGAAGGAAGAATTCCCACTTACTGGTATTTGAAGTCATCTGGCAATATAGACATTATTACATGCTTACCCCCATGCACTTGGGTTGAGCTGTTTGTTTTGCTTTATTCCTAAATTTATCTTCCACCTGGAAATGTTGCCTGTGTGGAGAAAGCATCTGTGAGACTGGGTGTAGTAAATTAGTGGTTACTGTTTCTGTCTGTTGCCTCCCATGCTTGAAGCAAGAGTCTAAGTGGCACCATCTTCAAGCTGTATTTTTGGGAACAGGTATTACATATTTCACTATCTGTTCCACAAAACATTCAGGTGGTGTCTGTTCCACAGAGCATTCAGGTGGCTGACAGTGCTTGTATCGGCACTCTTAAGGTACAATTGATATACTTGAGTGGCAAAGCCAGGTTAGGATATTTCTCCTGACTCTTGTGGCAAAGGTTACAGTTACCTAGTCATTAAATCAGATTCTACGTTCCAGACTTACTATATCTAGACTTTTTTTCCGAAGTCTGAGAGATGGATTTCTTCCCTTTGGGAACTGTTCTGTGATAGAGTTTATCGGTAGTTTAGGCTAGAATTGCAGCTGCAATCCTGAAGAGGCCATTTTGCCTACGATGTTTTCCTTTCCAGGTGGGAACTATTTTTAGCTTTCATTTCCCCTTGTTTTTTTCCTAGTTGGGTCATGTCTAAATATACTTTCCAATTTTAATTTTGTTTTTAGCAATGGATTTTTTTTTTTCCTAGATTGCTTTGTATATGCTGTTTTAGACTGATCTTTGAATGTCCACTGTAGGAACTGCGAAAATGAAATGGAAATCAGTGTCTCGCTGGTTAGTGACCTGGTTAAATCTGTGCAGTCTGTGAGGGGACAAGGACAGTCCCATATTCCTCTCAACGTAGCAGGTATTCCTGAAAGAAATAAAATAGCTTGAAGAAAAAAAAACCATGTACAAGGAGAGTGTAGTATACTACCTCTTTATTAACCAGTCTGCCTCTGATTCCTAACATCTTAAAAAGACTTGCACTGCAGTAAGCATAGCAGATGGTCTGTCTGGTTGATGCTACCATACTGGAGATAATTGTTGGTCAGAAATGGTCATCTCCTTTAGGAGAGAGGAGTTAGTGTTATTTAATATACATCTGTCACTTATTTAATAACATATTACAATAGACTATATAATAATATTATAAGAAGTGTTATTTAATATACATGAGTTGAAATATCTCTGCCATTTCAAATGTTAATACCAAGAAGGGTATTTACCTTGTGCTTGTAAGGTAAACTGCTGATTCTGTAAAGAAGCAACATGTCCTTCAGGAAACGTAATTTTGCCATTATTAAGACATGTCTTAAGCTATAAAAGTCCCCACTGTCACAGGGGAGATAACAACAAGAAGAATGTAGGGAACAGGAAACACCATTCTTCACTATTCAATGGTGATCTCTGTACCAGTCAGCTGTGGTTTTTTTCCCCGGTATATATGCATGTTCTTCCTGCCATCTTGCAGCCTGCCATAGAGCTAATCGTTTATCCCGGAATCTTATTTAGTAACCACTTGCAAAGATCTCTGATCACTGGAAGAAGTCAGTATAGCACCAGAGCGTATGCTGAGAACTGTATCTTGATGTCCCTAACTCTGAGGCTGACTTTTCTAATGGAGCTCTTAATTTAACAATTTAATTTAACAGTGGTATTCTGTGCGATCTTCCTTACTAGACTAAGCTAGACTTCTTGATGGCTACTTCAAGGGGAAAAGAGAAATTGCTTTATTATCTGAATTTATTTCTGCATTCTCCTTCAGTTATTCTAGGAAATAAGTCTCCCCCGTTCATCACATATGAGCATGTGGGAGTATCCAATTTAATAGGATGAAATGAAGGAAAACTTCGATAGAGATTGTATTTCATAGATTAAGTAATGGCTTAAAAAGCAAGATTTGCTACTGCGTCCTTCCAGTAGACTACTATATTTTAATGCTACTGTTGACATACTGAGAGTAAGTGGAAACCCGTGGGTGAGAAAGAATCACAGAATCTTTTAGGTTGGAAGGGAAGTCTAACCCCTGCAAGAGCAGTGAGCTCAAAGGGAGGAGGGGAGAAGGCAGCAGCTCTGAAGGAAGCGGCTGTGTTTCAGTTCAGAGAAGCAAGGAAGGTAGGAATGAGATGATAGTGGGATAAGAGGAGGGTAGTGGAGGCACTAACAGTGAGGTCTGCTTTTAATTTTATTTCGCTTAAATTTAAGGGGAACTATTGCGGTGTTTGGTAACTTCTTGCCAGTTACTTGTGTGTTAAGGGTAGGATTTGAAAATACAACGTGAAGTTTCGTATTGTCTCTGTATTTTCATACTGTCTTAGGTCTTGATAGCATTTATACAGGAATCTAGCTCAGTGAACTTGCAACTGGTTATACTGGGGGGTAGTTTTCCCACTGTCATGTTTTTCTCATTGTTTATGCATTTCAAGTGTAACCTTTTAAACACTGTCCCTCACAAGAGACTATAGACCTTTACCTACTGTACATCTAATGATAATCTAAAGTATGTACTATCTTGAGACATTCCTTCCAAAGAGTAAACTTACGTTTTGTAGATTTGTTTCAAGGGCAGGTCTGGGAACTGATAAATCTAATATTTGCACGGTCTGGTTGCCCTGGCAGGGACTATCTAGAAAATACTTCTTATATTTGTCTTTTACTTAATGGCATGGGTCTAGATGTGAAGGTGGCTAGAATTCAGTAGTAAAAGTTCTGGGAGGTTCTGTTCTTTTACATTCTCTGGGCTCTTGGTTATTGTTCTCTGTGGAAGGTGTATACTGTGATGGTTGGTTTTTTTTCTTTTCAACTTCACTTTGGATGGATACAATGTGTCCTGTACACCCAAATGTAATACCTTTTTCTCCCTAAGCTGGCAGGAGACTTTTTGTATTAGTAGGAATATCAAAGGAAGGCAGCATAGTATGTCTACATTGTGTGCATTTGGCAATCCTCTAAAATGTTAGTGCAAAACAGCCATTTTGGGAGAGACAGGAAACTCTTCTTGCCACTGAAAGGATATTCTATAACTTGGGTTATGCTAAACATTTTGCCTTCTGGATTACAGGAGCTACTCCAGTAGTCTTTGTAGCATGTGCAAGTATGCTCAGTCCCTTTCCAGGATATGTAATTTTGGAAAGATTATGAGATAGATACAAAACAATGTTTCATATTCCCCAAGATCTATTTACTGACTATAGATTTTATATTTGTACCAGGGCCTCCAATAGTATGCATGACTACTGTTCAGATTCAGGATCTCAAATATTTCTTAGGTCTGATCCACATGTGGGGGTTTTTGTTTTAATTTATTGGTGTGACTGTACTGTACAGTCACTATTTTTATTTAAATATTCTTCTACTACAATGATGCAGTTACACTGTATAGTTTATTTCTTTTTCCTATATGGAAATATACTATGCTAGTATAAATGCTATTTTATCTTCTAAGTGCATTCATGCTGGATGTTGTTTTTCTTTAACTACACTGGTGTAGTCTATGTAAGACTATTATATGCAGCTGAAGTGTTTATCACTCAACCCTGGAGAAGCTGCAGTTTATTTCTGTGACTCCATAAAAGATCTGAATGAGATCCGTACGCTGCTTCTAATCCCCCGCTTCAGTATGCATGCTGGAAGATGCTCATCTGTCCCAGTAAGAGTCATTACTGGAAGCATGATTATGCAAAACTGAGTTTTGTTACCTGATGCTGCCATCTCATGACTAGAAGAAAAAAAGGAGCACTTCATGGTCTGAACTATTTCCCTTCCTTGATAAGGAACAGTTCAAATACACAGTTCAGAATATTCCCCACATGTGTTTACTTTAAATCTATTTCTACAACCGGTAATTCAGTTGATGTTTTTTTTTATCTTGCATAAAAATAGTATCTGTCAAATTCACTGTCTCCTGCCAGTTATTATAGCTGATGCTCTTAATTATGGTTGCAAATGATCATCTGTGTGGCTTGCTGTACCAGAACTGTTCCTCTCTTGCTGATTATCATATATCACACTTGTACTGTAGTATGCACCTGATGACTACAATGGCCTTATTCAGCTGAGCGATCAAGCAAGGAGTGTGTTACAAGCACCGAAAGAGTGGGTCTGTTTGTAACTCTTTGTAACTTCTGAAGAAGGTAAGACACGACTGGCAGAAACTGGATCTCCAGTGGTGAATGGGAAGGGAAAGAAGGGCTTGAGTTTTTTGCTTATGGCTTTTTCCCCTTCTTAGCTTGCATTGGGATCCTTGCTTTAACCTTTCTGCTTTTGTCCTATTAAAAAATCAACTAACCTAAAGAAATAGGCCAATTGTGATCTGTAGTTGATGGGATAGCAGTGGTGGAGGTAGTGTGATTGCCTGGTTCTGCTCAGATGGTGTGTTAAACTTCCAGAAGGGTTTATTAGTGTTTGTTTCTCATGTGAAGATTTCGGTCCAATATTTTATTTTTAGCATAGCAGTAGAAGACTTTTTTTTCTTGATATGGCTACAAAGCTCACACAAATGTATGTGCAAAGAAACCCCAAACCTCTAGCTTTCTCTTTCCTGTATCACATAGCTGTCTAGAGATTAATTTCTCTGTTTCTTGATCTCCCTAATGCAATGTGAACTACTACATTTTTTTAGAAGAGGTTTCTTTGGTATAGTGGCTTTCTAATGCAACTAACTAAATTTGCTAATGGTAAACTTCCGCACATTTTTGGCACTAACACATAATGCTTAAAGAAATTTTGTTGTGACCTATGTGGAATTTGTGATTTCCCAATACTGTTGTATTCCATTCAAAATGCTACTGATTAGTTATTATGTGTTTTTCTCCTTAAAAAAAAACCCACACAAAACTTTTTCAATACAAAAGGGCAATCAAATACTGTGCCTTGATGGAAGGACCCTCATAGCTAAAGCTACCTTCACATAATCACCATCAACTCAGTTGTTTTCAAATTAGTTGGTTTCTCATGATACTGTTAGATCTGCCAAGGAGAAGATAGATTAGAGGCTGCATGGTCTGGTGGTGTGCAGAGGAACACCCATTATTATTCTGAACATTTCCATATTTATGTGACCAAACAATCTGTTTGGCGCTCTTGTTCTACCCAGATTAACTGGAAAACCAGATCAGCAATAGGGTTCTACTATGTATGAGATGGAAACAGTCTTTGACTAGGAAATAATTCATGGAGTAGCTTATCCTGAATTCTAAGCAGTCCAAAGTAGTATTGTACAGATACCACTCTTTTTAGAACAAAACATCCAGAAAAAAAGATTTGTACAGATTTGGATCTATATTTTAAAATATATATGTACATGTCTTAAAATGAAACTGAAGAGTTTTATTTAACCCTTTTAATTATGTTGCTGGCAGAATGTGTAGACTTCTCTGCTAACTTCCTATGCAACTCTTATAACATGAATGTCCAGATCCTTACCGCCTGGTATTACACCAAGGCTGCTATTTAAACTACTTTTTAAAGCTCTCCTCTGTGCTCAGAGGTCTAACTGTGTTTTCAGCAGACTCTGAACTGTGATATTAAACTTACATTCAGGACTGATGTGCTAAACGACTTGATCCCGTATGGATTAACAGCAAAGAGCTGGTTTAGAGCAGAGTATCTTTTTAGCTCAGATTTGCGGCTGAACCCAAACTGTGTACAACTTTCTCTTTGAGCACAGTGTTATTCTGAAATAAACCAAGATTACTTCCAAACCTGAACTGGGCTTCAGATACGATGTTTTATTTGTCTTTTGAATTTCTTTCTGCATGCTATTTCTTGACTAACTTACTTCTATGAGAAGAAATTACATGAAGTCTGTACTAACTGTCTTACACATGCTTTTAGTTTCTAAAGTGTACTGTTGCTTATATCTTAAGAATACTTTTACTGCCGGCTAAGTGTTTGGGTGAGTGAAGCTCTGGCATGTACTTGCTTTATTTTCATATGTTTGAATGTAAAGCTGATCAGAAACTGCTGCTGGTAATAACTGAAAAGTCTGATATTTCTTGCAGTATACCAGGCATGCATAAATTCTACAAAAAGTGAAACTCTTAAATGTTTTCACCTTTTATAAAATCATGAGGACATATGTCACATAAACTTAACTTGAATTGGGTTAATACTCATAAAACTGGTTGGTTTTCCGGCATAGACCATATGTTTTGTCTGGCACTGATTTCTCCAACAAACTAATCTTGTATGCTGAGCTTTTGATCCTTCAACCTTTGGTTTTGAAACTTCACTGAGATCCATTTCTATGCAACAAATAGGGCTTCCGAACTTAGCTTGGAAGGACTTCCAGCATGTTGTGAGAAATGGCTGGGGTATCACAGGGCAGACAGAGATGTCTGCTTTCAACTCAGCATTTTGAAAATGCCTTTTAAGAATTCACGAGAGCAAATGCACTCCAAAGTAAATCAACTCCAATGACTAAATAATCTCATTTGCTATCCTGCTTTTTTTATCATTGTTAAAATTACAATAAAGGTTTCTTTAATTCAGTTGGACTGCACCAAATTTTGCTTTGTTTTACCAAACAATCTTTCTTGCACTGTATACCTGTGTTAAGTTCAGCTCATCCTCCCAACACAGAAATACAGCTCTATAATTTTTTTTTTTTTTAAACTTTGCGTTTGAGTATTCACATGCCTTGTAGCCTTTGTCAGGTGGCCAGTAGTCCACATAGTACAAGAATTATTCACTGAACGCCTGGACTTTCTTGTTCCATTTACCCTTTATTAACATCTAAGTCTTTCTTTTCTTGTCAACCTTTAATTTGAATTACTTCCCTAGCAAAATCTTTGCATGGAATTATGTCTACATCATTCTGTTCAGTACAACAGCAGAACAAGAGCTGCTGCTGTTCTCCAAACCAAGCTTTTAATCTTTGATCCCTTCTCCTCCTTCCTATTCTCACATCCAGAATCTTTTCGTCACAGACACAGGAGTGGAGTGAACCAGATGCACGGCATTAAAAACTACATTTCCACGTGTGGTGTCTGTTCTTAATAGTTTTTTTTTCTTGTGTCGTCTTGTACCATTGCAGCTCCACGCAGATTCCATCCTCGTGCTTTACAACTTTAGTGGCCAGCCCAGTGGAGAGGCATTGGTGACTTTTCCAAGCCTGGATCTAGCTAAGAAAGCAGTGGCTGAGAAAAATGGACAGCTCCTGGGAAGCCGCTATGTAGAACTGTACCTGGTCTAACTAAACACTCTTTGGGGGATGGGGAAAGAATGTCGCACTAAACACCGTGCCTTTTGCAAAATAAGAAGTCTTCCCTGGACACCCAGGCAGCAGCAAATGTGCCTTTTCAGCATAATATGTTGGAATGTAGAGTGGTACATGTCCTGTATTTAATTTGAAAAATGGCGTATCCTATGCCAAAGATAAAGTGGAACCAAAAATTATGCAGTTAATTTACTTAATTTCTAATGTACTTGTTTAAAAATAAGCAAACCCGCTCCTGGCATCTAGTTAATTCTGAAGACAATCTAATAGCACTTCAGCTATCGCAGCCATGGGAGAAACCTGTTCAGTAGCATTTGAAGTGGAAAGCGAAGCTTTGAGTCATTCAGATTCTTCTGTGTTTAGTTTTTAAGGGTTTACACTTGACAAAGTGTCTGGTTTTTGTAGAGTTTAAATGTCTTTAGAAAGGTCTTTTGGAATGCATAGCTTTCCCAGTTCAAAGCGTAGATCATATTGATTTTTGTTTTGTTCTTGACTGGAAAATACCAGGATGCTGGACCCCAAATGCAATTGTGCTTTCTCATGTTTTCATTATACATTGTTTTGCAAAAGCCATATTTGTCTTTCTTACCAATGTACTGCTGCCAATGTATAAAGCAAAAAAAATAAAAACAATGGCAAAACCAGGAAAATCCTCCCTGCCCACCCATAACTCCCTGCCCCCAGCCCCAAACTTTTAATCTCTACAGGACAAAAATGGCACATAAACCTGAGTACTAATAAGTTATATTTTTTTATTTAAGCATAATAGCTTTCAGATACTGTATTAAAGATTTTGCTCTAGTTTATGTGCATGCAATTTGTTTACAACTTTAAACTACTTTATTTGTATATTATGAAACAACAAGATATGTTGAAATCTAAATCCTCTAGTGCATGCTTTTTTCTTTTTCCCTGTGTGTATATACATAAGCTAGAAGAAGTACTTTTACGTCATGTAGCATGTGTTTAAAGAAAGACATCTGCTGTAGAAGCACTAAATGACTTTGTTTTTACTGTGCCTTACTTCAAAACCATTCCAAGTGCAATACCAGCAGAGCAAAATGTAATGAATCTTGTTGTGACATGTTCATGGATGTCTGAATTGATCTTTTTTGTTAGTGTACAATTTGAGTTGTACTTAAAAGAACTGAATGATGTATGCTTCTTTATATTACAACAAATAAAAGAGATGCTTACAATGTGTATTGGCTTTTGAAAGTAACATCCTTTGTTTTAATGTATTTTCATGGGGCATCATTCTCTGATAAATAACCTTTTACTCATTTTTCTTTCTCCTAGATTTAGGAGAAAGGTAAGCATATGTACCTTGCGAGAGTGGTGTGATTTTTTTTTTTTCTTTTTGCATGTGCTGGTAAGCCAGGAATATGCACGATATATATTTCTCTTGTAGTGGAACACTTTTTAGGCAATGTGATGTAGCTGTTTACATGCTTAGTTCTCTCCTGCTGGTGCCAGAGGAAACAAAGTATTGAACTTCAAATTGTGTTCATGTTTGGATTTAATTGGCCAATGGGTCACTCCCTTTTCTGTGCAACGCAAAATGCTACGTTTATGTCATGATGGAGCCAGACAACCTTTCTGTAGTAAAAATGGAGAGGGGAAAAAAATCGTATTAAAATAACGTTTGTTTCTCTCTAGTCAGAAGCATCCTATGCCAGATGCCATTTCATCATTAAAACCTCCCATCTGAAGTTTTATCACCATCAGGTGGGACTGGAAAGAAAGCTTTTTCATTATTTTAAAGTGGGACTGTTTAATCTGTTTCCAAGATTTGTCTTGGTGAAGTCTACCAAGAATCTTACTTTTAAAGTAATACTAGAGAGGACTGCACCATTATAATTAATGTTGTCATTGGGCCTTTGAGGAGGATGCTTCTCCCTTTTAAAATTTTTGGGAGTCTCTATCCTGAGCAATACAGTATACCTGTGCCATGTGGCTACCAGTCCACACTGTTACATTCTGCCATGGTCCAGCTGGTCACCTCATGGTTATGGCTTTGCAATCAGTTGAAACATCTTATTTTTCTCTTAATAGCCTGTATGGAACATGTGGTTTTCTGTTAGCTAAAATGATGCTTAACCTACTAAAAACATATAGTCTTTTTTACAGCTTCTTCCATTGTTGTTTACGCACGATTTATCGCCTTGGCAGGTTGGGAAAGCTAAGCCAGGGCTGGAATGGAGCACCTCAAGTAAGGTGTCAGCCATGGTTTAGATGTGCACATTCCCCTTGCTCTTAAACCATAAAGGTGTTAAATCATGGTGCAATGGTGCAATCAATGATAATTGCAGTTTAAAACTTTTAAGTGAACTGAAATTAGTAGCAGACTCTGCCATGTGCAAAGTCTGTATCTAGCTATCTATTAAAAAAGAAGTTTAGCTATCACCGACTGCTGTTTTAATCCCTGTTTAGCATGAAATGGTGGAAACTAGTAATAGAAATTGAACTCGGACGTTTCTGGCCGTGTGTTTGTATAAAACCTCCCACGTGGGCCTTGTGAGCAGTGTCCATTTTTTAGAAGTTATCTGTGCAAAACGACTGCAAGGGCAGCGATGGCGTTTTTGTTAGACCAGAGCCCCCCGGCTGCGCCTCTGCCAACAGGCCGGACCTGGAGGCACTCTTACTCTGAACTTTCTTGCTTGTATTGAAAACTCTGTGGTCTTGCCTGAAAGAGGCATGAAAGAAAATAATAGCGAAAGGATAAACAGTGGAATAGCTCACTTAAATGCATATTGCTCCAGTATTAAATAAAAATAATAAAAAGTAGTAGTAAGAATAATAAAAAGGGTGCCTCCCC